TATTAATATTTGCATGCAAAAATTTTCTAATTAATTGTTGAATGACATTATTTGACATATACCGTAGTTGGATTTGAAATCTTAATTCACTATAATATGGTTGCTTTTTAATTAGATTTTATAGACATGAAACCACGAATCAATGTGTTTATATTGTTATCAATGAATATAAAGAATATGATAAAAATCAAAAACTTTGTGTTATATCAATAAAATTGTCAAATCCTTGGAGACGGCATTATTGATAATATCTGAGATTTATTGGCTGTAAAATAACTTTTTTCCTTTATTTACTGTATTAGTTCACATACAACTATAAAGTTTTTTAATTAGAATTATATATAATTTATACCAAATAAATATAAGCAAATGGTTAATGTCTACTGTATAATGGTTGGCTATTAATTTGGCTCATATTTAATATTCATATCAATTACTAAATTATTACTATTTGTTTATTTAAAATTATTATATAATATGAAATATACAGTATAAGTTATACTCTAATAAACTTATAATAATAACAAACTAATTGTTATATTTTTATTTCCAAATCTTATTCATTGAGAATTGACTTGGTTCAACATTATTGTATGAGAGCAGTGTTTCCGATATAAATCACTGGCGTTTTAGAGGGAAATAACTATTAAAACTAAGTTTTCATAAACTAAACTATTAAGATCAGTGTATTTACAACATTTCTTATGCCTCTTATAGCCTACTCTTAATACATTATATAGAGTTGGAGATAGCTCGTTTATCAAATATAAAATTTTATTTATGTTTATAAAAAGTAAGAAATTGTTCAGCACTGAAAATGACAAATATATTCAAATATAGTAAACTAACTCATATACATTTTAAATTATCCCATTATGAACTCATAATTTTGCTCAAATATAACTTATAATTTCATAAATATGATATACTCTTGAAAACTTAAATCTATTGAAATACATTAAACATGGCTTTAATTTTATTCTGTTTAAATTGAAAATTGGAAGCAAACATAGAAGTATTACCGGTAGTTTAAAAAATAATACAGTATTATGAAACAAATAAATAATATAATGTGATCTTGATTCCGGTTTGTGAAATTAGTAACTTTTAATATATTTAAAATTAAAACGATCAAATATGTTGAAAATTTATTCATCAAGTAATTAAAGTTAAATTGATTTAAAGATAATTACAGTATAATTATAAGTTGTTTACTTCTATAGTCTCTAAAATTCATTAAATCTGGAGTTAATTAAATTCTTATATAATTTATGGAGATTTCAATTAACAGTAAATTATTTTTATCTCTTAGCAGACATTTTATTATTGATTTCAACCTTATTTTAAAGATTATTGAATTAACCGTATAAATAATTTATTATAAAATAAATTGATCCTTGATATAAAAGAAGCAATATTGTTAAGAATAATTTAAAATTGTGAAAATCTTTATCGCTATAATTCCCACTAACGTAAGAGACAATATTTGCAATAAATTAGTTAATCAAATAGTATTATTTTTGAATTATTAATTTCAAATTTTTTCATTTATTTTGCTATTAAATACTGGACTTTTTAGATTTATTTATAGAAATATTATTAAACATTTTTCATATAATGTGTGCCAATGATTAGATAGGCATAAATTTGATGGAGTGCTCTATTAACAGTGTAAATTAATCTAAAAATCAGTTAGAGAGCGTAGATATCGAGTTTGTAAAATTCCTTTTAATTTCAAAACTATTTTATAGCAAAAAGTGTAATTCACATAGACTTAATGCGAAGACATATCCAAAGCCCTGAAGTCAATAATACAAAAGTGGAGACAACTTATTGAATGTGTTTTGAGTAACTTATCTGACGGTATATTCGCAATCACTTTACACTTATAGTGTATATGAGTTTACTTTTCCCCGATTCGTGAGAGCATTTCGTTTTTGTTACAAAAAAATTGAAAAATCTTTTATATATTATTTGAAATTTTAAAAATACAAGTGATTTGATTGCATACAAACATTGAATTATTTTGATGGAAAAGCGTCGGGACTTGACTCGCGAGGATAAAGCCTTAAGTCTTGCTTTCTGTAAATGACACCACTATTCGTGTCAATAATTGATATAAATCATGAAAAATATATTACTTTAAAATGGCCCCATATTTAAAATAATTAATCATTAATTTATTTAAAATTCCTATATATTTTAAGGTTTTATTGATATTATGAGAGACTATATTGACAATTATGATTAGAGTGCCACGATATTTAAATCATAATTATTTGGACCAAAGTTATGTCTCTCAACAGTCCTGTCCTCATCCGATGTCGACATATGTTTTATTTTGAGATCAATTTTATGAATCGTCTTATTATCCCAACTGCAAGAATAGACACCGGAATCGGAAATGTCTGCGCTTTTGATGCGGAGGACATTCTTTGCCGTCATTTTTATTTTATGTCCAAACATTATGTTTGCGTTGTTTTTCAACCATTGGATGTGATTTAAGTCTTTGTTGGACTTATGTCGAGGGCATCGCAACCGAAGAATAGTTCCCGACATCACAATAGCCTCTCCGTTCACTTTCAATGAAATCCTTTTAGTGTTTTCTTTTTGAATAAATAAGTTTTCGTCGATTTTATTTGACTCGACGTTGTGTTTTGATTTGTGAATTACTTTTCTCAGTTCTAACATTGGATTTCTACAATGTTTTGAATTACATGTCTTTATAGCTTTCGGACGCTTTTTGGGACACTTAGCGACCGACTGCTCCACTATCTGTCCGAAAGCTAACTCTATATTTGGATCAAACATTAAGTTATAAATTAGAAATTATAAACATTTTTAAATTATTATATTTGCAAAACCTTTAATGCATTTCAATTTCCTTGTTTTCACTCCTCCGCCACAACTTCGCGAACACTAATGTAATAAAAATAAAATTACAACCAATTCATTGAATAATTATGTATAATGTAAATACTTGAGTCCAGTGTTGGGCCTCCCATTTGGGCTGACAGTCGACAACATTGCAGAACTGTTTAGTCTTAGGCATGGCTTCCTTGCAGAGATGGTTGGCCACAACGATTGTGTTGGCCGTACCTCTGGTCACCTCATGAACGCAATGGACTTCTCGTATCTGTACTCCTCCTCCGCACTCTTTGGAACAAATACCATACTCTGACACATTCCACCTTGGTCATGGACATGGTCATAAACAATGATCAGCGTTATATTAATTAAAATTAATATAAAATTAGAAAAGAATACCTGGGTGGACATGGATGATCATTACAGGTTCGCGTGAATGAATCCGGTTTTTTATTTATGTCACATAAATATGGATTCACTGTTGATTGGTCTGTATCTCTGACACAAAGTATTATCGACTCCTGAGTGCCTAAAATTTCACACAAAACATAATCGCGATATATATAGTTTATTGTGTTAAAAGTAATAAATACTAAAATTAAGATAATTAAACACTTGATTACCTCCTAAACAAGTGGCTGAACATTCAGTAAAACCCGAACTCTTCCAAAAGAATTTGGTTTCAATGCCTATCTTTGAGAGAGGAATCAGTTTATTCGTCGGTTTCTCGATTCCAGTGCTTATTATATGATTATCGCTGTCGTCGTCTTCGTCCTCATCCGCATCATCCATATCCTCGTCGTCCTCTTGAATAACTTGACAGTCCTTTATACCATACTCTGACACATTCCACCTTGGTCATGGACATGGTCATAAACAATGATCAGCGTTATATTAATTAAAATTAATATAAAATTAGAAAAGAATACCTGGGTGGACATGGATGATCATTACAGGTCCGCGTGAATGAATCCGGTTTTTTATTTATGTCACATAAATATGGATTCACTGTTGATTGGTCCGTATCTCTGACACAAAGTATTATCGACTCCTGAGTGCCTAAAATTTCACACAAAACATAATCGCGATATATATATAGTTTATTGTGTTAAAAGTGATAAATACTAAAATTTAGATAATTAAACACTTGATTACCGCCTAAACAAGTGGCCGAACATTCAGTAAAACCCGAACTCTTCCAAAAGAATTTGGTTTCAATGCCTATCTTTGAGAGCGGAATCAGTTTATTCGTCGGTTTCTCGATTCCAGTGCTTATTATATGATTATCGCTGTCGTCGTCTTCGTCCTCATCCGCATCATCCATATCCTCGTCGTCCTCTTGAATAACTTGACAGTCCTTTAAGAAACAGCTCTCAATCTCTTTTGGCTTAACACCTGAACACTGAGAGTCTGGTAATCGGACGACACTCCGGGAAAACTCCAAAAATATCTTGCAGTCAACGCTTCGCTTTTTAATGCCGTTCCCACACGAGGTACTACATGTGGACCACTCGCCCACTATATAACTTGGGGTGGAATTGATTATTTGAAATAAAGTGTTTGATTGCCTGTATGAATGCATTTCATTAATGGCTTACTTGGGTTCCGTTGATATGGAAGGATTGGTCACTCTATGCAACCGTTGCGAGTGATGGGGCGCTCCGGGAGAGTCTTCCTGTGAGTTCTCATTAGAATCTTAACGATTAAATAATAGTGTATTAAATAATAGGTATTAAAATCATTCCTTATTAACTGTTTGTATAAAAATTCATCTTTTCTATAAAAGTTTTCAAAAACATCTAAAAGCAAATAATGAATGTTTAGAATTGTGTGTAATTTATTTGTATAAAGATTTAATTTCCAACAATTTCTTCGGTATTTCTAAACATCATAAACTGTATATTTTACAATCATAATACTGTGCTTAAGTTGTATAATAATAAGGGACATCAGTTTTTAATGTTTGATTACTCACTTGAATGATGTTTTTCGCATTCAATACCAACCGAACAATTCTGCTTTTCATTGGGTTTTGTTTCGTTATTGCATTCATTACTAAACAATTATAATTAAAACATCAAATTTTAAATTAGTACAAAACATCTTAATAGTAGAATTGTCTAAAAACTTAATTTATGCTCAATTTGTGAAGAGGTTTAAACATTTTTATAGAAATTCTCAATTATAAAATTAAATTTATAAACAAAAATAAAAATTGTAATAAAAATAACTATCAATGTAATGGAATAAGTTTTAATTTATAGGTTTGTAACTAAAAAAATTATCCCAAATTTCTGCCCACCTCTGCAGTAAAGCTTAATCTCTAAAGTATTAATGTTTAAATAGGATCATATAATATTATAATATTCTGTATTTTCTAAATATTTATTATTAGACTTTTTTAGGAACATCTGGAATGCCATAAAAAGATCAAACCTATAAAATCCGCGAACGTCTCGACAAACCACAGCTCGGACTTGAAATGCTGGCTCACAAGTGGCAGAACACTACAGATTATTAGCAAAACAAAAATCAATACTGTATTTGATAAACTTGAAAAATACATATTTTGTAGTATGAATGAGCCTGACCTGAGACCAGACACCTTCAAACCATTGCGGGCACTCCTGTATATTACATGACTTCTCGGTTATAGGCTTTTGTTTGAGACACTCGCTATCAGACACTTTAAGTCGAGTGCCATTTACCACATCCTGAACGCAATACACATCTCGTGTCTGTTTGCCTCCACCACACCGGCGACTACAGGCACACCACGACTCTATAATCCAACTAATTTCACAACATTTACATAATATTAGTATCAATTTGACAGAGAGGGTGGTGGGGCTCACAAGGGCGGGCACTTCTGGACGTTGCATTCATTGATGTGCGGCCGCGGACGTGATGTGGGGTCGCATAAGATCTCATCGACCTCTTCGTTGGCCTCTTTATTCATACAAATCGGTTGTGACATCTGATAGCCTACACGATACACACATTCATAATTTCCTTTCATTTCAAGAAACCGCACAAAAGTTTGCATTCAATTTGTCGTCAATTTATAGAAAATATTCTAAATTCTTTACATAAACTTAATTCCCATTTGATTAAAAGCAAGTCATTTATTTAATTCATACAAAACCATTGAATGCAACCAATTATATGCCTTTTATTTAAACATTTTTAATTAATTAAAACAAATGCATTCTTGTATTTTAAAAGTAATTTAGTTTCATTGTATAAATTGTTTATTTTCAATCCTTACATAAAAAGCCAAAAGAATTTTTTAATCAAAAGACGAATAAAAAAAATTTAATTATTTTTTAATTCAAAATTACAATCATTTTAAGAATGCGAGCGAAAGTGTTGAGAGAAATCTGATTAATTATATTTAATTTTGCTTTAAGTTTAATCATTGCAGAAATAAACCATATATTAGACGTTAAGAGTTTTCACTCATATTTTCTTTTTTAATGAATTTTTATAAAGAAATCGAATTTTGTTTTTCCTTTAACTAAATGTTGAATGAAATCGTGAAAAATGGTTTCGATGTTTATGTGAGTTAATGGTATAAAACCAAAGAAATCATATTAATATTGCGCGACTGCTTCTCAACTATTTTATAATCAGAAGGGATAGCATTGGATAGTATTAACGAAACATCATTTACACACTTCTTCTATAGTAGACTCTCTTTTTTGTTAGCACTCATTGGAGCACAACCTCACCACTAATATCATTAATATGAGTGAGTCTGTGGGATGAGAGAGAGAGAGAGAGAGAGAGAGAGAGACTTGGAGAGAGGGCTTCTAAATGACTTTGATTTTGATAAATATTTTATAGTTAACTCATATAAAGAAAGCAAATTGTTTAATGATCTAAAACACTAAGTTATAAAACAACTCTGCAGTAGACTTTGTTTTAAATTACTTAAAAGTAATCAATTTTTCTGATTGAATCTTGAGATCACATTAGATATAAGTTAGAGTGAGTAAAGTATAAATTGTGCTCTTATTTTCCTATAAATTATCTATAAATACATGGAGTGCTTACCTCTACCGCATGACACAGAACAGGGAGAGTAGTTAGTCTCTGACCAGATGTAAGTGGGATGACTGCATGAGGTGCCGTCACCACCACATATGCCACAGCCGTCCACTTTGTTATCCGAACCCAATACCAAATCACATCCAACTGACTGCAAGATAAATATATTTTCTGTTATTTTAGTCACAGATTTATTTACTCCGATTCCCATCAAATGATTAATTAAGATATCAGTGAAAACAAGTCAATTACCAAACATTTTCCGGAGACACACATATCGAGAGATCCAGCCCTACAACGGGTGCCGTCTTCCACTTTGGGCGAGAGTTTGGCCACAAAATTGAATACTTTTGATCTACAGGTAAGACTACACGAGTCTAATGGATCCAAATATGGCAACCATTCATATCGTCTTTCTCTATACGGCTTATTGTTATATTGAGAGCATTGAGTCCCTCGGAAGTCTACATCGCTTGGACAGGGCTTTAATATATTCATTGGTTATATAAAGAAAACAAGAGTGGCGTAAAAAAACTAACAAACCTGCATATTACAGATTTTATGCCTTTCAGCACTCCCTTCGATACATCCCTTCTTATGATTGCATTTTCTAAGCGAAACACTGACCCCTCCGTCACAACTCCTGTGATTTTAAATGATTTATAGATTTAGTAATTAAACACAACAAACAAATATCTATTGTTTGAGTCAAACCGGGAACAGATCGACCATTCACTCCATTCAGACCAACCATTTTCATGTTCTAATTCTTGATTCCTATGGCTTTTAATCTATAGAAAAGCACATTATATAGCCATTTCATTTCAAATATGGTAACAAAAAAGTTTAAGAATTATTTAGTGTTTAAAATTCTTCACAATTTTTATTTGTTTAAAATGATATTAATTCAAATATTTTAAAAAGTATATTAGTTTTATATCAAATTGCTTGACTAATGGTTATGACTCTATTTTATGCCTTATTTTCGTCTATAGCTGGAGGACTGAAATTGTTTTTAATCAAGAGGTGAGGTCTTAAATGCTATAAGAGGGTGGCCATCAATTTTAACTGTATTGAATATCGTGGCACTCTAATCATAATTGTCAATATAGTCTCTCATAATATCAATAAAACCTTAAAATATATAGGAATTTTAAATAAATTAATGATTAATTATTTTAAATATGGGGCCATTTTAAAGTATGTGATTTTAAATGATTTATAGATTTAGTAATTAAACACAACAAACAAATATCTATTGTTTGAGTCAAACCGGGAACAGATCGACCATTCACTCCATTCAGACCAACCATTTTCATGTTCTAATTCTTTATTCCTATGGCTTATAATCTATAGAAAAGCACATTATATAGTCATTTCATTTCAAATATGGTAACAAAAAGTTTAGAATTATTTAGTGTTTAAAATTCTTCACAATTTTTATTTGTTTCAAATGATACTAATTCAAATATTTTAAAAAGTATATTAGTTTTATATCAAATTGTTTGACTAATGGTTATGACTCTATTTTATGCCTTATTTTCGTCTATAGCTGGAGGACTGAAATTGTTTTTAATCAAGAGGTGAGGTCTTAAATGCTATAAGAGGGTGGCCATCATTTTTAACTGTATTCAATATCGTGGCACTCTAATCATAATTGTCAATATAGTCTCTCATAATATCAATAAAACCTTAAAATATATAGGAATTTTAAATAAATTAATGATTAATTATTTTAAATATGGGGCCATTTTAAAGTA